CGTAACTTTTCGATTCCTGAGAAAAATAAGAGAGAACAAAATTTCCTTATTGTCTTATACAATGGCTCGAATAGATCTCAAATTTGCAAGTTTTCGCGTAAAGGCGATACAAAGTTAAGAAATTAATAGGAGATTCAGTATCGCTGTAAATTTGCAGGTCCCAAATTTTTGACTAGTAATTTCCAAATTAATTTCCAATATTTTTCTCGTAAATTTTCGATTCCTGAGAAAAATAAGAGAAAACAAAGTTTCCTTATTGTCTTATACAATGGCTCGAATAGATCTCAAATTTGCAAGTTTTCGCGTAAAGGCGATACAAAGTTAAGAAATCAATAGGAGATTCAATATTGCAGGTAATTTCCAATATTTCTCTCGTAAATTTTCGATTCCTGAGAAAAATAAGAGAGAACAAAGTTTCCTTATTGTCTTATACAATGGCTCGAATAGATCTCAAATTTGCAAGTTTTCGCGTAAAGGCGATACAAAGTTAAGAAATTAATAGGAGATTCAGTATCGCTGTAAATTTGCAGGTCCCAAATTTTTGACTAGTAATTTCCAAATTAATTTCCAATATTTTTCTCGTAAATTTTCGATTCCTGAGAAAAATAAGAGAGAACAAAATTTCCTTATTGTCTTATACAATGGCTCGAATAGATCTCAAATTTGCAAGTTTTCGCGTAAAGGCGATACAAAGTTAAGAAATTAATAGGAGATTCAGTATCGCTGTAAATTTGCAGGTCCCAAATTTTTGACTAGTAATTTCCAAATTAATTTCCAATATTTTTCTCGTAAATTTTCGATTCCTGAGAAAAATAAGAGAGAACAAAGTTTCCTTATTGTCTTATACAATGGCTCGAATAGATCTCAAATTTGCAAGTTTTCGCGTAAAGGCGATACAAAGTTAAGAAATTAATAGGAGATTCAGTATCGCTGTAAATTTGCAGGTCCCAAATTTTTGACTAGTAATTTCCAAATTAATTTCCAATATTTTTCTCGTAAATTTTCGATTCCTGAGAAAAATAAGAGAGAACAAAGTTTCCTTATTGTCTTATACAATGGCTCGAATAGATCTCAAATTTGCAAGTTTTCGCGTAAAGGCGATACAAAGTTAAGAAATTAATAGGAGATTCAGTATCGCTGTAAATTTGCAGGTCCCAAATTTTTGACTAGTAATTTCCAAATTAATTTCCAATATTTTTCTCGTAAATTTTCGATTCCTGAGAAAAATAAGAGAGAACAAAGTTTCCTTATTGTCTTATACAATGGCTCGAATAGATCTCAAATTTGCAAGTTTTCGCGTAAAGGCGATACAAAGTTAAGAAATTAATAGGAGATTCAGTATCGCTGTAAATTTGCAGGTCCCAAATTTTTGACTAGTAATTTCCAAATTAATTTCCAATATTTTTCTCGTAAATTTTCGATTCCTGAGAAAAATAAGAGAGAACAAAGTTTCCTTATTGTCTTATACAATGGCTCGAATAGATCTCAAATTTGCAAGTTTTCGCGTAAAGGCGATACAAAGTTAAGAAATTAATAGGAGATTCAGTATCGCTGTAAATTTGCAGGTCCCAAATTTTTGACTAGTAATTTCCAAATTAATTTCCAATATTTTTCTCGTAAATTTTCGATTCCTGAGAAAAATAAGAGAGAACAAAGTTTCCTTATTGTCTTATACAATGGCTCGAATAGATCTCAAATTTGCAAGTTTTCGCGTAAAGGCGATACAAAGTTAAGAAATTAATAGGAGATTCAGTATCGCTGTAAATTTGCAGGTCCCAAATTTTTGACTAGTAATTTCCAAATTAATTTCCAATATTTTTCTCGTAAATTTTCGATTCCTGAGAAAAATAAGAGAGAACAAAGTTTCCTTATTGTCTTATACAATGGCTCGAATAGATCTCAAATTTGCAAGTTTTCGCGTAAAGGCGATACAAAGTTAAGAAATTAATAGGAGATTCAGTATCGCTGTAAATTTGCAGGTCCCAAATTTTTGACTAGTAATTTCCAAATTAATTTCCAATATTTTTCTCGTAAATTTTCGATTCCTGAGAAAAATAAGAGAGAACAAAGTTTCCTTATTGTCTTATACAATGGCTCGAATAGATCTCAAATTTGCAAGTTTTCGCGTAAAGGCGATACAAAGTTAAGAAATTAATAGGAGATTCAGTATCGCTGTAAATTTGCAGGTCCCAAATTTTTGACTAGTAATTTCCAAATTAATTTCCAATATTTTTCTCGTAAATTTTCGATTCCTGAGAAAAATAAGAGAGAACAAAGTTTCCTTATTGTCTTATACAATGGCTCGAATAGATCTCAAATTTGCAAGTTTTCGCGTAAAGGCGATACAAAGTTAAGAAATTAATAGGAGATTCAGTATCGCTGTAAATTTGCAGGTCCCAAATTTTTGACTAGTAATTTCCAAATTAATTTCCAATATTTTTCTCGTAAATTTTCGATTCCTGAGAAAAATAAGAGAGAACAAAGTTTCCTTATTGTCTTATACAATGGCTCGAATAGATCTCAAATTTGCAAGTTTTCGCGTAAAGGCGATACAAAGTTAAGAAATTAATAGGAGATTCAGTATCGCTGTAAATTTGCAGGTCCCAAATTTTTGACTAGTAATTTCCAAATTAATTTCCAATATTTTTCTCGTAAATTTTCGATTCCTGAGAAAAATAAGAGAGAACAAAGTTTCCTTATTGTCTTATACAATGGCTCGAATAGATCTCAAATTTGCAAGTTTTCGCGTAAAGGCGATACAAAGTTAAGAAATTAATAGGAGATTCAGTATCGCTGTAAATTTGCAGGTCCCAAATTTTTGACTAGTAATTTCCAAATTAATTTCCAATATTTTTCTCGTAAATTTTCGATTCCTGAGAAAAATAAGAGAAAACAAAGTTTCCTTATTGTCTTATACAATGGCTCGAATAGATCTCAAATTTGCAAGTTTTCGCGTAAAGGCGATACAAAGTTAAGAAATTAATAGGAGATTCAGTATCGCTGTAAATTTGCAGGTCCCAAATTTTTGACTAGTAATTTCCAAATTAATTTCCAATATTTTTCTCGTAAATTTTCGATTCCTGAGAAAAATAAGAGAAAACAAAGTTTCCTTATTGTCTTATACAATGGCTCGAATAGATCTCAAATTTGCAAGTTTTCGCGTAAAGGCGATACAAAGTTAAGAAATTAATAGGAGATTCAGTATCGCTGTAAATTTGCAGGTCCCAAATTTTTGACTAGTAATTTCCAAATTAATTTCCAATATTTTTCTCGTAAATTTTCGATTCCTGAGAAAAATAAGAGAAAACAAAGTTTCCTTATTGTCTTATACAATGGCTCGAATAGATCTCAAATTTGCAAGTTTTCGCGTAAAGGCGATACAAAGTTAAGAAATTAATAGGAGATTCAATATTGCAGGTAATTTCCAATATTTCTCTCGTAAATTTTCGATTCCTGAGAAAACTGAAAGAGAACAAAGTTTCCTTATTTCCTTATACAACAGCGTGAATAGATCTTTCGAAGCAACAGTTTTCGCGCAAAGGCGATACAAAGTGGATCAGCAGAAAATCGGTGTCAGTAAACTGTCGTAGACTTTTCGTGTTCGAAATACGGTCGTGCTAAAAACCGTCTTTGTGAGCATTTCGAAAGTGGGCTGTTACTGAAAAAAAGAAAGCGTTTGCGAACCGAACATTGTTTTGATATGTACAATATAGATCCGAGTTAATTACGAAAGAAAGCAATTAACGAAGCCCCCCACGTGTACGCTCTCGAGATTTCTTTCATTGTTACGAAAAATCTTGCGTATCTCGGGGACATCCCACGCGTTAATCATTCTCTCCGCTCGGTTACGCTTCCCCGTCTATCCGGGAATCCCAGGACGACCACGATTAAACCAGCTCCGTAAAGGACAAGGAAAGTAACTGGATCCAGTTTCACGGTCACGGGCACAATAAAAATTTATGTACATACACGTACACGCCGCTTCTACACGCTCTTACGTTATACAAATATCACCGATTACGCGGTGCACGTGAATAAAAAGTTCCTCGAACTTTGTCTTCCTCCACTGTGCAATTACCACAGTTACAACATTGCGGACGTTAATGTCCCAAGTCGTGTGCAACAACTCCTACTTTTCCCCCATTTTCCTTCGCCTAACGAAAACCGGAGATCGTTTCACCGATTAGAATTTTTACCAAGTTTCGCGATTCGAGACTTACTTTCGCCTAAACGAAGCGTCGCGAGGACGGTGGAACGCCGATTTTCGAGAGGATTTGCACGAAGCGTGTACACGATATCAGCGTCGAGACAGAGTCGCTTTCACTGACTGTGAAATAGCTGCTGCGACGAGTTCACGAGCTGTCCGTGAAATTCGTACCTAGACCGAGTTTTCATCTCCGTCGCGGTTCACCGTCTCCGCGTAATCGACCATCGGCATAAGAATAAGAAGAACGACCAGCTCTATTTTTACCTGTTTATCGTTTACCCCCGTGTTCCCTGCAATCGTTGCTTTTTACGAGGAGCAAGTATCTTACGAAACGACGAACAGGAGATAAGTTTCAATTTAACCGGGGAGGGAAGAAATTGAACGTTTCTACGGTACGATCGTTGAAGCGATGTCGAAACGAACGTGAAATGAACAGTTACGAGTGCATGCATTTCGTTTCGAAGGGAAAATTCCTTGGGCCTCGCCCAATCGGCCAAGTGAAAACGGAGTTCGGCGGTTAAGAAACCCGCTTAAAATTTAAGACGTCGCCGCCATCGGTGACCTCAGCGACCGATTACATGATTAAATAATTGTCCCCGATTCGTTAACGGTTCATAGAACGGAGTTTTTACCAGGTATACGTTGAGGGAATGGAGAAGTACGACAAAAGTAAGTCACCAGAACGTTTGCCGTTTACCTTGTTTATTGAGTAGCCCTCTCGAGCGACTAACCCTTTCAATTTACGTACGCCGAGATAAATGTAAAAGAAGAAAGCTGTGAAAGAAAAACGTACCATAGAGGCTGATGCATCCGAGTATCCAGAGACTAAACAGGAGTTTGCCAATCATCTCATCAGACGAGTATCTTCTCAAAAATCCATAGTCAGCTCACCCGGTTTCGAAAATCCAAAAGTGCTGCCCCACGTGTTCGCTGTTTCCGCGGCAAAATGGAATACAAAGACGCGCCGCGGCTATCAGCTTGCTTTCGTTCTATCGACAGCCTGGTGGTGGACGATGAAAAATTCGGGGGAACAATGGAGAAACTGTTAAAACACTCGAAATCGGGGAAAAAAATAGACGATCGATCGGAGCCGTCGTGACTTGCTCGCTCGACGAAGCAACGCGATTTTACGTTTCTCTCTATCGATTTCTCCTCGTTGTTTCAACGTGTAGGTGCTCCGTCTCGTTCCTCAGGATTTCATTTGCGCTCTTCGCTTTTCTTTCTCTTCTCGTTTTTACGCGATCTAATTTTAAATAGGTTCGCTAAAGTAATTCTTTCTTTTCTCTATGGCAAAATTGGAAATCGGGGTAAAATTCGTGGGAACCGCGATTGTCAAGAGGAGACGTTCAGTTGTTTTTTTCTTCTTCAGCTGGCTGAACTCTTCAACTTCTCCTGCTTTCTCCTTCTAAAGGCTCGACGCACTTTTAAACGCTCAGGCGATCAACGATCATCGAGCGTACAGTCTGGCGCTACCACGATCCTTCTCACTGGACTGTTGGAAAAAAATACGTGTAAGAACTGTTGGCGTGATGTTTGCATCGATCGCCACGATCTGGACACTCCTCGCGATGCAATCACATTATCGACCCGTGGTTACGTCGACAAAAACGACGTCGTTTCATGTCAACTTAATTTTCTCTTATCGCGGACGATCCAAAGTTAACCGATTTCGCGAACGAAGAGATCCGATGGAATTCGACGTCGAGCACGATTCTTCGCGGGGTTGGTATTTTTTTTTATCGTGTTCGATCGCTAATTTCTCACGCTGTACTCGCCGGATTTTCCGTTTTCATCGTACGGATCGCTTTCGAGGCGATCTCGAAGCTTGGTTTGTCACGGAGCGGCGCACTCCGGCAAAACGAGAAGCCTGGAGCGCCAGCAGAAACTAAGAGAGAGTTGGAACGATCGTGCTATACACCTGCAGGAACACCAGAGCTGCTACCTCGTGGCCTACTATAACAGAACTGACTCCCACCATGGTGTTACCGTGTCTCTTTACTTGCCATAAGCGAACGGTGTTTACCCGTCGTCTCTCCCGACCACGATCATTTCCTCCTTCGCGATCTCCTCGAGATTATGTCGTTGACAACTTTGCCTTTCCGCCGTTCGTCGGTTCATTGAGCACTCGAAGGGTCTTTATCGCCCCACTTGGGGCGTTTCAGCGAAACTCGCCGTCTAGACTTGGTTTTACTCGCGGAGTACTCGATTATCCCCATCGTGTCTCCTTTAATAGTACGTTGCTCTTTTCTTCCTCTTTTTATCAAGTACAGAATTTCATCGATGAAATCGGGAGTATCGAGTTATGAAATTCGACAGTTTCTTAATAAACACTGTTTATCCGACAGGCTATTTAATTCTTAATGCGTTCTAGCACCTTATGGACAGCTCGTACGGCTGTACGTCGTTGCCTAACAAAGATCGCGAAATTTCCCTAGGTTGTCGCAATAGAGGAGTTTCACTGCTATCGAAAGTATCCGTACAGTGACACGTGCGAACAACGCACCACCAAATATTATATCACCGCACCGAAACCGAAAATGGACTCTCGGGTACTTGCGGTAGAAAGGATCGCGACTCGCTTTCGCGGACGATCGCTAATTGCGAGAGATCGATGCGATCGACGCGGTGTTGTCTCTTTCCTTTGCCACTTCCACCGCGTCTCTTTAAAAATTTTTCTCTATTTTTTTAGCACGTTTCTGTGCAACCACGAGCATACTACCTCCTGGCCTCTCCACTCGTTCACTTCACTCTTATATTATCAGATATTTTCGAACAGTTCGTCACTTTCGTTTCCTCGATTTTTTTGCTTTTCTTCCCGCACCGCAGAAAGTACGTCTGCAGTTCTCTCTTCGGCAATTACTCGTGATTAACGCAAAGGCCAACGGAAGCAGAAGCGTATACACTCGGACGTGGTAGCCGGAGAAAGTTGAACGGGGAGAGACGGTCATAGTTGTCGGTGTACTCACCGAAGAAAAGAAAATACGCGAAACGAATAATCGATGCAATCATCTTACGCGATTCGAGCCGGAGTCTTTTCTTTTCACGGGCAGTTCTAGCTGCGTGATTTTTTGATCGACACCGTTTGTAACGTCCACGGTGAAAACGTGCGTTTATGTTAATGGCAGAGGCACGTGCGACACTTAATCGAGGCAAAGAAAACTGTAATCGTTTACTTTCACTTTTTTCATCGATAATTGCGATCATATAGGGGATGCGTATAATCGATAGCCTTTTACTTACGTGCCTCGTATAAATTAAGGATAATTGTTGCAAGCGTTTTTGCTACAGTTTGTAATAGCAAAGATAAGTACAGGTGGTTTTATTTAATACATAATGAAATTACAATACAAATTGGTTCGACAGTTTGCAACTTATTGTGAACGAAATGGTATAAACAATTGAACAAATACATTATATTTTACATGAACTTAGGCATATCTACATTGTGTACATAAAAGTGTGGCGTGTCCTCTGTGTAATGTACGTAGTATTTAAATGATAACACAGTTAAGTATACTATTTTGCAAATTAGAAGAACTTTGTTTCGTCAAAATCATCCTGGTATTCCTCCATTATCTTTACTTTCGTTACAGGCTTACGTTTTTCTAGCCTACGTATACGTTCCTCTGCAGAAAGAGTTTCTATATTAAGAGGAAGGGTGAGTATTTTTCTTGGTTCTTCATAATCAATGGTAATACTTCTACCGTCTGGTAAAACGAGATACGTAGGATATGTATTGAAATACAATTTCCTATGCTTTTTTGTTATTGCCGCTGTCCAACAGTTGAAATTCCTATGGAGGGATAATGCAGTCTGTGTTGTCCGCAAAAACGAAGATATATTCATTCTGAAATATGAACATTTAAAATATCAACGACCTACAATTTTTTCAATTACATTCGTAATTAGTAACGTTATTATGATTAAACGACGATAGAAATGTATACAGAAATTAAGATCTACGCAGAGAGGTTATACTTGACGCTCAAGTTGAGAACTAAATTCAAATAGTAATTTGATTTTAGTACTATTCGTTAATATTATATTTGCCAGTTACTATTTAGCATCGCTGTCTATTAATTTTCCATGAAATTAAATTCAAAACAAATCAAACTTACCTCCTTTGTGAATAAAAAATATCAATAACCTCACCAACACGTCTTGCTTAGAGAGATCACATGTCATTTCCATGTAACCAATAGAAGATGGCCATGCTAATCGAATCGTATCGATATATCGATAGTTGTTTGAAATGTTAAAGTTTTCGCGGTATTCGATAGTTTGTTCGTTACGTGTAACCGGTACGGATGAAGTGCGTAATTTTGTTGTAAAAAAAAGTGAATTTTTTGGTTTCGTGAGTAATTTTGAATAGTTGTGTACATAATTTTCCTGCACCTGTTTTTGTGGCTTTGCTGTTTCCATCGATAGACAGGTCGGAAGTTATTTGGTGAGAATATACATATTTATATAACGCATCCAGTTGAGCATCGTCGGATCGATAGATATGTCGGCGTTTTTTCTTTTTCGCGTTTGAATTATAGATAAACAGGTCGTTCTTTATTGTAGTAGACATAAATATGTAATTAGTCGGGAACAATAATATTAGATGAAGCAACGTAACTGCTCGATGCGTTGTCTTGCGACTCTCCGTAATTATTACCAGGTACTTCGACGTATTCTTTACGATTCCTGTGGAAAGTAATGTTCAGTAATCTATATGTACGTTGCTTGTCGTAAGAAGGGGATAGAGAGGGAAAATTTGATCAAATGTGATTGCGTTTGGCGAGTGATTCTATATACGATGTTCTTTCAACGATATGTGCTTAGCTTTCGTCGTTTATTGTAGAATGTTAGTTTAATTAGTGCTGTTAGTATATTTGATATAGTCACGTACGCACATACATACGACATTCACGCGTGGGTCCATATACACACATGCGATAATTGATTTACTCCAAGCCATTGCACACGTTTTGTTCAAACGTTTATTTTATTTAATATATTTTCAAATTCTTGGTATCAACAATCTACCATTGATACCGAGATTTTTATTACTTTATTTATTAGAAATTCACACCTATTTCATTACAAATACTTTATCCCATGTAAAAATGGCTTCGATACATGCTTCACTGTTGCAGCACCATAGTACACTGTGTACATACTGATAAAAGCCAAATACAACTAGAATTACTAATTTAATTTGTAAATGTAATGAAATTTAAAAATGTTTGTATTTATAACTAGGTTGAAATGCACAAAAACATGCGGATAATTTATATTGTCATTTCGATATACATATAAATCGTAACAATTACAAGGTGTCCCAAATTTTGAATAATTACTTATCGTTATTCGTACGAAAAATTGCGAATTATAATTTTTCACAATGAAATAGTAACTTATATTTTTCTGGGTTGCATTACCATCACCATACTCGTTTCATATATTGGAACATTGATAAACGTTCAAAGTAGACTTTTTTTATTTTCAAGAATATCATTTGGCACGTTAACGTATGTACAACTCTTTTTGGTATTATACCACGAATTATTAATCTACATTAAAAAGTGCTCTACTCACTCCAATCCGTAAATGTATCTATATCTATAAAAGTAAATTCTTTCTCTTTTATTTCTGCACAATTAACAACCAACTGAGATTCGTTAAGCATATAAAAAAATGATAACAGTAAAAATAAAAATGTAATACAATAACAATATGTTTAAAATGTGGTAAATACTGAATACTGTATCTTCATTCCTAACGAAATGAAATTTCTTAGGATTTACTCCTTAATTTATTCATTTCGGTGATATGCAACCGCAACATATATCTTTTAGTAGCGTGTCCGAATCTTCATTTTCTTGTTTATGCAGTTTTTCGTTACTTCTTGTATTCTGGCTACCTACTCTGTAAGAATTTATAATATTGCAAGCTCGTGCAACGTGGAAGAGAAAAGTATGGTTGTGAGAGATGATAAAATTAAATTGATGACAAGAGATGTTTATATTCTGTGTTTAAGGTCAACCATCTTTTCACTGATAAATCTGTAAAACAAAAATTCTTTTGCTGCCTCACGTCTACAATTCACACTAGCAAAAGCACGCGCAAAATGCATAGTACTTAAGTAGTGAATCTGAAGTTTTTTATCCATCCAATTTTGCATATAGTCATACGCAGATTAGTTTTCTCATTCTACTTCGAATTTTCATTACAGGTCTTATTAATCACTTTTATAGATATTAAAAAATGGTTTCATCGGAAGATAGTGAAATTATTAAAACAGAATAAAGCATGTAGGTTATTTCTGCACATGCAATCACTTTCATGCAAACTAATAAAATTGTAGTAATGCTTTGATACAAGCAGCATGCATTTTTTAGTGCTTTCTACCGTTGTTAACAAAATGTAAATATTATTTACAATTCTATGATGTCGTTAACTGAAGAATGATCTATGAAGATGAAAAAATACAAAATATACATACCTATACAAAACGTAATGTTGTATAATGAAAAATATATCAAACGCGACCGAAAAGAATCCCAAACCAAATTTCGTCGGGTCTCCGAAAATACTTTCCACATCGTCTAATAAAAAGAAGAAAAAAAAATCATTAGTCGAGCATTTGTTATTAAAACAGAATTGAAAATAACTTTTAATTTCGTATATACGTTACCATAATTGTATGCGTTTAATGCCATCTGTAGCATTGACAATATACCACCGGTAAAATCTAAGAATATATTGCCGATACTCCAACCAACGGTCGACTTCCTCTTATAATTATAAAATGCTTGTGGAACGTATTTGATTAAAGTTATGCACAATTTAACGTAACTACAATAATACAAAAAGTCAAGCCACGTTACTGTTTTCACTATTGCTAATACCATAGAAGTAATTATAAAGACTGCAAATACTCCATGAATAATACGTGCTGTGTTAGATACTCTCTGATTTCCTATCTGAAAGAAAATAATACTCACGTTAAAACTGATAGAAAGTTGTAGAAAATTGTATTTTTAAAAATTCACATTTACAGTGAATTTTTTGCTTACCTCATATATAAAACATTGAATAATTGTTATCACAGTTGCAAATACTGCATGTAAAGAGAAAAAAATATCGTTCACTTGTACGGGGTTTAAACCTTTTGGATATCTCCTAAAATATTCCAACTGAAAAATGCAATTTTACATTGGTATATGGTTCAAAATACATGTACATATCAGTTGGATTTATTGCTCAACTTACCTCTACTTCTTCTATCCAAAATAGGCCAGAGTTAAATAATCCATACATAATAAAACCAACCAGATTTAACGATAAATAATCGAAATTTAATCCTACGACACTTTTGCGTTTGTAATTGCTGTATATTTGTGGATAGAAACTCACACTCCATGCTAGAAAGTATATCCATCCTACCACACTGCTCATATAGTAAAGTGTGTCTGACTTTTCAATTGTCACTCTGACAAATGCTTGTGAAAAACTGTAAAAATATAAAAAATAAAGCACTTTGTTAATATTGATAAATATAGTTTGACACGTAAAAAGTAATTAACACACAAAGTCCAAGAAATTCATGTCTTACTTTAAATTAATCTCATTTATTTGGTCTTGAGGTACTACAATTACTTTAAAAAGTGTCATTATTCTTTAGCTTTAATGTTTAAATTTGAAATCAATTTAGCACAGACTTTGCAACATAAATGTTGAAAACACAATTCCACTTTTGAAAATTTTGAAATATTATACATTAATATATTTAATACAATTCACTGTGTTATGTTCTAGTTAGAGCAGGAAGTAGTCTGCTCAAAACCTGAACACATACTGACTGAACTTTCAGTTAATGTTCCAAAGACAAGTGCAGGTCAGAAGGCTATCTCTGCAAATAATGACCACTAAATACTAGTGGATGTAATGCTAATCAAAATCTTTTGAAACTTATTCATAAAAGTAAATATTGATGTTGCTCACATCCATAACCCAACTATATATGACACTAAAGAAGGAGGGGGGTTAATTCAGTTTTTTTTTTCATTCATATCTGTGCTTTTTTTGGACCAATGCATCATAATCTTTATTTACATAAGGAAACAAGTTCAATATACTTGGTGATTTGATAATTAAATGAATTTTTGCTACAGTAATTTCTTTATTATAAAGCTTGGATTATTTTTTAAATTAGAAAAAAAAATACACTTACTCTGTAACATTGCTGGGTGTGACATTAATGCTAACCACTGAATGTCCTGCACGATGACCAGTTACAAATATACTCCATTCCTTTTCTGCACTATTTGCAGGAATACTGAAATTGGGTGCAGCAGAAACTAAGTCTGCATGTTGTACTTGTAGGGTTACCAATACATCTTCAGATAGGTTTTTCCTGTATAAAACAAATGACACATTGTTAGTACTGTTTATTGTATTCTTACATTATAACAATGCAGTTAATTAAGACATTAAAATACAAAGGCACCAGAAAGATTTATCTTAATTAGCTATACTCAAAAGATAATGCTTGGAATATTACAATTTTTCACTCCTATCTCTGTACAATGTCATGGATATTAATGTATGGATGAAACTTTCCTAAAAGTAATGCAGTCCAACAAACAAGCAATTAACAGAGTTAGATATAAAAGTAACATAGGTAACTACTACAGATTACGCACTGAACAATAGACTCTATGTGCTTTGATCAATAAGCATGTTACAAATATTTCTGGCTGATAAAGTAATTGCTTTACATCATATCAAAATACTTACGTGAGGTACAACTGAAATGACTTGGTGTTATTTAATAGCACTGTTAAATCTTGAGTTGAAACCTCAAAATCTGCCTGTACTTGCTGTGCAACTGAAATATAAATTGCTATTTAGTATATTAAAAAAAAAAGGATTGCAAAGAAGACTGTTTCGCATTGTTCAATTTATAACATGAAAACTGTTCTCTAACATACCTACGATTGAGAAAATCCCCACGAACCATAACAAGGCCATTTTTTGTGGCTTCTGAAATAAATCAAGTAAAAATTTAGTACAGAACATCTTTGAAATTTGAAATTTTCGCAAAACAGTCACAAAACCATTAAAAAACGTAGATTTTGATTGTTTAAAATTAGAGAAATACTCGTTTTAAAAAGTGCAAAATACAAATGATTTGAACTAATATCGAATAAACAACGTTCTACTGTGCACGTCTAGCCGGAAGAAGAATCTGCTAACTTCTGAAGGCTTTGACCGCTTAGTACGCGGAAAAAACAGGGAAGTCTTACAAAGTGCCGGGCACTTCGTCGGGTGCAAACCATTGATACAGTCGCAAAACCTATATTATTTCGGCACCTGTCATTCACAATACCCGGCACATGACAATCGTTACATTTTTTTTTTCATGTACTATACGATATTTGACGAGTAATTAAAGGGTTATCCTACTGACATTTTAAAAGAATAAAAAAAAAAATTACTTTTTTTTTTCAGAAAACTGAAGCTTTGAAAATGAAATAGAAAAGGTCCGAAATGTAAGTACGAATTAGTTTTCAAGTTACAGAGCCTAAAGCGAACTCAGGTATACACCTGCGCGCCAAGTTGTTCATATCATGGATCTAATTACATAGTGAATCGCGCGAAGTAAGTACACGACGTAGGTCATTTACGGAAGATACTTTATTCGAAGCGCAGGGTCAGTTTTACGCAGCAGGCATAGCAAATCAGTGGTAACAGGAAAAAAAAAACGCACGATATAATTATGTTATGATATAATTGTGTAATTGTCTAATTGAATAAAAATTTTACAGTTATAGTCCTAACGTTAGTGTGACGTTGACCGACAAATTGTTTATATATTATTACTTCATAAAATATAAGCAAGCGAAGAATATATTTGCAAAACAAGCTTTAAAAATGTGTTTTTCATCAATTTTCCAAACATCGAGAAAAGGTTCGATCAATGTTTAAAGAATACAATATAATTATTGGTAGTATTCTTTTTTCCATTTCAATTGTTCCTAGATGGCGCAATTGTGCACAACAGTTAGCCATGCACGGAGAGCCAAGATTTGCGGAAAACTGTCTCACAGTTAATACGCCAACTATTCAGACATTGTTACAGGGAATTGTTGTTGTCGATAATATGCCAAAAAGGAAAGTGGCAAACAGCAACGAAGTCCCAGTTTTACCTTTCCGGCAATCCATGGTGAGAAAACGCCTATTCTTTTGACCCGTCGCAGTAGGATAACCTCTTAAGAGAAACGAGAGACGCGTTGACATAATTTCGAACGATACGTTTAGTCTCGCATTGACACGAGAACAAAAGCAGGAATCCTCGTGGAAAGACAGACAGTTGAGTCATACTTAACTTCGGAAACGCGGCGACCTCGATGAAACATGCCACGCGGCGTTAGAAACGATAAGGTCTCGCGTTCGGAAAATCTCCAGCATTTCGTAATTGTACATCACGTTCGCGATGCTTGGCGTCGCCGAATATTTTACGGTGACCCAAGCGAAAAATCGATCGAGCCTTCTAGCACACTTTCGAATCGTTTCGAACAAACAGAAACTAGCAGGTGGCACGCATTCTCTGTTTATGTCACTGCGACTAAAGAAGATGGTGGGAGACGAAGCAGGGATGTACCGAAACGTGGTTCCATTGGCAAAAATTTTACATTTCTCTTGGGAATTTTTTTTTTATCTCTAGATTGAATATGAAACCTGGAAGATTGGCGATTTACGAGAATTCGAAGCACAGTGTCCACCGGAAGTGGTGGAATTAGTTTGATGTAAATTTCTCGCGAGAATTACTCAGGTAAAAGTGCTCGTGTATCGATATATTTACATGTAAATTGCCGGGCAATGCGACGTCATTAACGGAGTCCCATAACCTGGTGGTTATCGTTTTGATACGCAATGTTTCATTACTCTACACTTTTTCATTTCATCGCGTTATAACCTTTTTCCTGTTGTTGTTCATTTTCGTAATGCTCTCCCGCTCGAGACTGGCACCGTTCTTTTTGCCAGACGAATTATGGGGCTATTCGAAGATAATGGACTATCCTTCTCTCTCTCTTTTTTTGTTTCTTCTTCTCGTTATCCCTTATTCTCCTCGTTATAAAACTTTCCAATGTTGCATAATTACCAGTAAAAATTTGTTTCTCCTTTCGGCCAGAGCCTCGCCTCGTATCAATTAATTGTTTCGTAAAGGGTGAATGTTTTACTAGGGGTTCGCCGAACCGGTAATTTTCCTTCGAAATTTTCCACAGGCTTTATCCGACCGGTTACTCACATACTTTCCTTTGTCGTTCGCATTGACCTGTGTGTGGCTGTGCACAGATATCGCGCTCTACTTTTTTCTCTACACAATTTCCGGATTTTCCCCGTAAACATTCATTCGTCCGTGGATCAAGTGGATAACGTGAAATTAATTCTGAAATAGCCGAAAGAAATATCATCGTCCGACATGAAGTTCCACCGAATCGCACAATTCACCAGCGCAGTATAGATCCATCGCGAAGCTCGACAGTTGAAAAACCTCCGAGTAAAGATTATCTCGCCCCACGGAACAAAAGCGCAGGTGAACCCTCGAAGGGACACGATTTTCCTCTGTGATAATGTTACGCTAATGCTTTACATTCTACGATTCGGAAAATTTCCTCTCCCTTCTATCGCGCGCGCTCTCTCTCTCTCTCTCTCTCTCTGGACAAGTAGCTCGCGAGAGTGAACGGCATTGGGTAGGAAAGGGGGCGGAGGTGGGCGGTTTGTATAGTGTACACATTTCGAGATAGAATAAATCGAAAGAGAGATCGACGTTCGAGTGCACTCCGCACTCCCAAAGGGGCCCTCGCGAAGCTTACATGGAAACAGCTCTGTAAGTCGATCGGGCAGTCTGCTGCCGCTTTTGTTGACGTATATAGGCTTCTTTGCCGCCAATATTTTCCTTTACGTCATAGCTTGGCCAAGTCGAACGGACCTAATCCTCGAAGATAGCTCGAGAAACGTCTACGTTCTGCCTTCTCCTTTCTATCAATTTCAATTCGGCCTCGATATATGTATATGGATAAACAAGATCGTTCCCTTCGGCCAGGCTTTTCCCCTACCTTGCCGATTTTACCTTGAAATTATTCGTTGGGAATCGTTTGGACGAAATGTCCGGGGAAAATATGTATTCCTCTCCACTACCGGGGCTCCTTTCTTCAGATTTCAGGATGCAACGAGAGGCTGTCGAGGTAGGTATCCCGGAAATTTCCAGGGCGTTTGAAAATATTTCCCGTTCGACGAAATGGTCTCTCTCACTCTCTCTTTCACTCTGCCCTCCTCGAACCGTTTCGGATAAGCGAATCAACGTTTACCTATCGCGACGATCCGAGTATTTACGAAAACATCCTGTTCTTCCGGCCACGCTGGAAATTCGTGAATTTTCCAAGCTCCTCGAGATCTCTCTCGGACCAGGCATGCCCGCTTCTCCTCCTGCCTTTCCGAATTTCTTCAAAAAATTCCTTCTTCTTCTTCTTCTTGTTGTGCCGTGACGTTGAGAAACGACGTTTGCCCCGTTTCATAGTGGAATTATGTTAATTTTCGCAGTACGGTTTTTTTCCGTTTTGTAATTCTTTATCGGTATCCTTTCTATACCTATCGCTCGAAACACCAGTTGTTTGCTCCTTGATAAACTTAATACACATTAATGGGTCAAGTGTCGGTGAAGTTCCACCGAGATTGCGGAAACGAACGAGGCAGAGTGAGAGAACCGGGAAGAATCGTATCGAGACGATAGAAACGCAGGGGGGAAAAAACGGTGTAAGAGAAGTAATTAACGAAATTAATCCGAGGATACTTTTAATTACGTTAATACAAACCGATACGAAGAAAGTCACAGCTAACTGAACGACAGGAAAGTCTAAATTTATCCTTGTAATGATTATGCGATATTTACACGAGCCGATCAATTGTGCAAATGGAATCCCGACAAGTAGAATCTCTATTTTTCCCCATCGATTCGCCAAAAATATTTCTACTGCCGCATAATTACGGCTTGCGTTCAACTATTAACGAATCTTAATCTATCCTCTATATCGGCTTTTTTACGGCGTTTTTTCCACGATCCACATACGGTCGCGTTATCTTTCGGCCGGTAGTTGCATTATCCTTTCATCCTGGAAACAATTTCGCGAGCAGTTTTGCGTGAGCAGTATTAAAGGCTAGTCCGCCAGGTAATAACGGTTAGCATAAATTAAAGATTAACTTTGCCGGCTGGATCGGGCAACGTAATGCCCGTTCCATGCTAATTTCTTATCGCCGGCAATTACTTAATCGCACGCAGTCGAATGCACGTTGAAGCCGCGCGTCCCTGGCTAATTGGGACGCGAAGAAACATCTGTGGAATCAGCTTTGCTTCGCGAAACTCAGCTCGCCGTTCCGACCGTAGGAAAAAAGTAGGAAAACATATGGCACAGTAACGAGATAATTATAGAATGCTCTTTCATAAACGAGAGATAATAGAATCGAGTCAAGTTTCGAACGAATTTTCGGGGAAGGCTATTTGCAAAGGGAAACGATAAAAGAGAAGAGGAACGATACAGTTTCGAAGTTTCTGTCACCGACCGATTTCGTTGCCAGCGATGAAATTAGACTACAACGCGAGTAGTGAATTGCCACGAATTTCACATGGAAAATTTGTTCAAATAATCGGAACAACGATCTCTCGGCGAGAGAGATACATCGGAGATATTCACGCGATTTTCTCGTCTATCGCGCCACCCAGCTACTTTTCTCTAAGATTTCAAAGAGTCTCGCTCGTCTGGTGCCGCGTTATCGCGTGTTTCATAATTCCGGACGATTCATCGCGCGTATCGCGAGAACGTGTATTTTCTTAATGTAAGCAAGTATGTATTACGTACATGCATTCCCAACGTGACTCGTTCGACGGACGAAACGGCGTTACGAAGTTCATAGATCAAATTTCTCGTTTCACCGCTGCTAATATCCCGACAACGTTGACTTTGTGTTTTGCGTTCGCATGTTTTATCCTTCCTGTCATCCGATATATCCCATAACTTTCCCAAGTTTGCTTTTCCTTTCGATCGTTTCAGCCCGTTCCCCGATGGAAATGCACAAGCTTCGTTGCGCCGGTCTCACCTACTTCACCGACCCGATACTTGTACAATATTAATGTTACGCCGCGCGTATTCCATTCCTGCGGAAACGCGTTTCCTCTGGACGCTTCGATAACGCGGAGGATTCGAATGCAGCAACGGTCGCCAGATAAAACATTTCATACGAATCCTACCAATCAACGTGCCCTCGATTAATCCCTTCTCATCTGAATCTGCATTTTGTAAATTCTTCCTCGAGAGTCGAAGCAGAGAGTAGAAAGATGGTTGATTCCATCGGGTGATCTCTCGATCGTGTAATTCAGCCGGGCAAATCGAAATTTGTATCTGTAATGTCGTCCGAGAGCATTGCTGCCTCGGCACGTCGCGTCGCCTCGAGTTATCCAGGGAAAACTTCCTTTTCCTCCAAGTGTTTCAGCCGTTCCGGACGATTTCCAATGTAAATTTACAAGCTCGCGGTGGCAGTTTGGCTCCTATCGAATATTAATGCTCGGGGCGCGGCGGGCTGCGTTTGACCCGTTCCTCAGACCCGACTTTACGAGGTTGCTCTCCCGACGGCTGACCCGTGTCTTTTCTACCTTTGGCTGCCTCTGTTGGGTCTACAGACACTATTCTCGCTGTTTACCCCGAAAAATTTTCATTCGAACCCGGGACGCAAAAGGAGAGAATGGGTTTTTGGAACTGTTGGCGGTGACAGTGGTCCTCGGCTTAGCTTTGCCACGAAGAACTTAATTACTCGCTCGGACGAAGAAAGTTGGGACGTCGAGGAAATTTATTCTTCGTTATTACGATCGTTCGCCGCCCGCTGTCAGCGTCTCGAACGAGTTCCGAACTTTCTGTCCCCGGGATTTATACCTGATTTTGTTAATCTCGGAGAAAGCGTTCTTTCAGCCAAAGTTTCTCCGCGTAATTTCTTAACGAGCGTTTTTCCTTTTTTCCTCTACCGAATATACCGTGCGTACAACCTCGTTCTCTCCTCGCTCGTGATTATATCATCGGTGAAAGAGAATGCTGCACGAATTGATAATGTAACGTCTCGAACAAGTCCGAATTTCTTCGGTGTATGTATTCCTTTAGAAATCTCCGCGATTCATTTTCTTGTCTTCCTTCGACCGTAACGGACGGAGTAGCACGTTTCTCGAAGTTAATGTGATTGGCTGGTCACGAGACGAGTTTATTGACAAAGTATTTCGATTATAAGAGAGCTTTCCTCGTTGTTAACAATTAGAGAGGTCGATAGGTTGATTGATCGAGCGCTGAAGATCTATAAGCGTTCCATTTCGCCTCGGCCAAGTAGCCCAAGTTGTTTGTGTCCGCGTTACGAGAGAAAAAAAATGAAACGATTATTACGGTCGCGTATTTCGAATCGAACTCAATTATCCTTCCAGATTTTTCCGTACCAGTCGTTTATTTTCAGCAAATATCTCTGCACGTTTACGCTAAGAGAGCACCATTTTTATTCGA